CTTACTCCAATTGATCAAAACTTTTACAACTTAAATCATGCTTGCCGATGAACGATGATCCGATGCTAGTTGATGGAGTTTCGTGCCTCATTAAAATCACTTTCTTATTTTGTTTCATCAGCGCGACTTTAAATCTTTCTCAGATTTTTTTTTTCTTATTTTTCATTTACCGTTTGTGATCGAACGATTTCCCATAATAGGCAATCTAAAGCCAGCGTAAGTTCCTTTCTGAGTGTAAACAATTCCTTAGTTGCGATCGCATGCGTTTAGTGTGAAGGTACAAAGTGACTCGAACTCGATTAGTATATGTTTAGTGTCTTTCATCCAATAGTTTTCGGACCATTTTACTAAGAAGTTCGTCTTTAATAGAGTTAGTAATTAAAAGGCAACCTTTGTAAGCTCACGCTCTAAATACGCAGCCAATATGCGGTGAGCTTAGGGATCGAATTGTAAATTCGAACTTCTGGCGTTTATCGTCTTTCCCCAATTATGTCGATTTCTGCAAAAGGCAATAAATACATTATGTGTAATTAAATCATTAGTTAAAGAAAGTTGGAGGAGTGGAGTGGACTTGTAAACAGTAAGTAGGAGATCTGTAGATATTCGTTGTCTTTAGCTTTATTGTCCTTTTACATTAACTTAAACCGTGGATAGTGTGTGGTAAGTAAATCAAATCGAAGTGCGTTTTACCTACGCGACGTGTGGGTCGTCGCCTCGAGTAATCGAAAAACATTCAGAAATACGCTTCAGCGACCCCGCAATGTATTCGTTTACATTCTTAATTAACTTAAGAGGCTTAAGGCTGGGATGAGATAGCCGTTACGCTTGTCTTCTTATCCGTTCATATGCACAAACGTTGATAACATGGCTGAACTTGTAGTCTTGGATCAAATGTGAAAACAAGTGAGACCTGCCCCCAAAAATGCACGCACATAAAAGACAGACATGCTTAAAGCGATTCGTGAAAATGATTCTAAATCGATTTGTATAGTGAGAGGTTTAACACAAGTTCTAAAGGGCTCTGCGCAAACTCTACAAGTTCGTAATTAATCAGATAGGTTTTATGTTTCACTAAAAGTTAATCTTAGGTAAAGGTTATGCTCTTCTTCTCGAAAATTTTCTCTTAACACCAGCCATCATCGAAATGATTCCTTAGGTTTGGTTAGCCTAGATTTGATAGTGCCGCAAAAGTGATTCGTCCTCGATCACTAGATACATGATCAAAGATACTTGATATGGACGCGATTTGCTCATAAACCGACTGTTACAGCTTGGAAAAGAAAAAATTCAAATGTCGACAGTAAACGAGAACAGAATTGTTTTTGTAACCAGCACTTTTATGACCTACGATTCTCAATTAGTTATTTCAACAAACAAGCTAACCTTAAGAGAAGTGAGATAGTGTTACTCTCCGTCAAGGGGCATAAGACAGGATTGAGATGAGCCCTTTGATGACATGAACCCTTTAAAACCGCGTTAAAAGCCTAAAATGAAGACACTTCGAATTCTGTTGATCAATAAATTAAATAATAAAAGAACAAAACGTAATTAATTACAAAGGAATCCGCCCGCGTGGCCGAGCAGACAAGAGCCTTGACTAGAAGCTCCAATAGTTGTCGTTTCAAATCTCAATAAAGCCGAAAGCCTTAGATGTTAGTGCTTTACGACTTTAGTCTTACAATTTATTCTCTGGCCACGTTTATAATAATAATAATAATAATAATAATAATAATAATAATAAAATAATAATAATAATAGTAGTAGCATTTGTAAATACTTGGACCAATGCTAATGCCTGCTACCAAGCGAAAGCCATATATATAGAAAGAATAAAGAATGCAGTGCGCTTTCGTCCTATCAAACTTTATGTAACTTGGAATTAATTTAATTTCAGTTCATAATAGCGATTGCTCTGATTTTGTTTTACTACAAACTATAATGTCGGGTCATCCATCGAATAAGTATTTTTTTTTTGTTTTAAATTTATAATAAAAATTTTCTTTCACTTTCAATAATGGTTCATATGGCCGTCTTGGAACAGCAATTTTTACTATTGTTCGACATAAATCTATTCTTACTTCGCCAATGACACGAGTAATCTTCGTGAATAAGGCTATTGCGAGTTCATGGTTTATTTGAGTAAGTCAATGGCCCAAGATAACACCAAAGTTAAAGGCTGAATACAATTACTTTGCTTGCTCTTTGTGGCAAGCTCACGTTCTATATGGGCGCTGAAGAATTTTTGGGAATTTCAATGTCATTGAACCTTTCTTTCGATAGATTGATTTTGTTACGAGATATATGGCGTTTTGCAACATTTTGTTTTAACCACATATCGCCCAAATCATCCAATCATACAATGCGTACCCCAAAAGTAGTCGTTAATCATGAAGCACTCTTTGCAATGCCATTTTCATATTCAGAAGGGGCCCTTTCAGCCCACAAACCATACTTTTTGGTACGTACAAGTCTTTTAGTGGCAGCAAATGCTTTTTCTTTCCACTGAGCGGTCAACAGGGTTCCTTATGCACGCAAGAGCCATTTATCCAAACAAGAGTTTCATCCCACATCCACAAAACTGAACCGTGTATTCGTTATGTTCAGAATAAGTTTTAACAATTTCTGTAGGCTGTACATATGCTGTATGTATGCAACGTGTTTCACAAAAAAAGGCACAGTCCAAAGAATATATTGACAAAAATTTCATCCAAATCTCAAGCAGGCGTGTGTTTTGTTTACGTTTACTATCGGAATCGCAAAATTGATGCCCTCCCCCTAATTAAAAAACTAGGCTCATTGAAGTTATTCTTATATACTTGGGGGCAGGAGAGGAGCAAAGTTAATATAAAGATGTCACTTTAAATTTTACGCCCCCTATCAATTAGGTAGTGAAAACTAGGACTTTTTATTTTTCTTTTAGATATAAATGAACATATGCAAGGTTATGATTAAAAAAACCAAAAATTATTTTGAATGATTAGAGCCGATAGCCTGTGTTGCTAGATGCTAGAGCTGTGTTGCTCAATGTCATTTCTTTTTTTTTTTTTTGGATAAGAATTTATTTCATTAGTCTAAAATTATAATAATAATAATAATAATAATATTTTGAATGACAATTGATTTTCACTTGGGTGGGTAGGTAATCAAGCAAAAGTCCTAAAATCAACAGTGAATCCCTATTAGTAATGGGTAACAGCTTTGATGCGACTACTGGGCTGGCAGTGTAAATGGAGTATACTTTTAGGAAATGCTTTGATTTTGGACCGCGTATGAATTGCGGTATTTGAACGATGCTGACCGACTGATGGACGCGATGTGCGCTTATTTCCAGCCAAGAGGTTTATTATTATTATAAAGTTTTAAATACAACATTTCGTATTAAAGGAGCTTGTTTTGTTTAATTGTTGCATTTCGTTACGTTAACTGTCAAAGTGACCAAGTTCTATTATCGCTATACTAATCAATCTATGTGTGTCTAAAGGTGAAGCGATTATTCTCAATTTAAAGAATGTTTACAATTTATACGGTACACATTAGATGCTAAAGTCCTGACAATTTGACTGTGACATCCTTTCAATATGGACAATATGGACGTAGTTGTAACATATGTAACATAAAAGCGTTCGTATATGGGTTACTAACAACATAAGTTCAACTGTTTAAAACATGAAAAGGAAAGGGTAGGAAATCGCGAATTAAACGATTTATTTTGTTTTTTTGTTTATTAAATACATTAGAAATGCGAATGTATCGACACCTGCACGCACACATGCAAATGCGAATAGTGATATTGTTTCGATGAATTAGGATAAGCAGACAATATTTAGTTTTTTTTTTTTTGCTTTTCTTGCTTCTTCTTTTTTTCATTTTTTTTTTTTTTTTGGTTTTTTTTTTTTTTTTTTTTTTTTTTTTTGTTGGGCTATAGCACCAATTATAGCAAACAGTATAAACAAATGAAATAGAAATATATTATCATAGAAACGTACATGTGTATATATGTTTTTTGTTTTTTTTTAAATATTGTCATGCGCTCTGTCACTTAATACAAATGCCTTTTACTTTATATGTGCGAATGCATAAATGTTTAAGTAAAGAGAACTTGAATTCAGATGAAGGCTCGACCCCCAATGATATGTATATACGTTCTATGCAGGCAGCTGCCAAATAAAAAAAAAAAAAAAAAAACAAAAAAAAAAAAAGAAAAACCATAACAAAAATAAGGTAAATAAATTACAACTACAAGAGAAACACCCTCACGTCACCAAGAAAGAAATGAGCAGCCAATCATCAATTGAAACAGTCTACTTGTTCTTCTCTAACATATAACTTAAGATGTCTGGTAAGTGAGTAAAATAAACCAAACGAGCATTTATTGGTGCATAGCCTGTTGGGACATTATGCAAAACATGTTGCTTCGGAGAGTGCACCTGCATTGCATTCTCAACTAAATGAGTGCTGCGGATGTCTCGATATATACAACATATCACACAGCATATTCCACGGGGACGCGGACTTTCTTCCTATAGGGACCACTGACTTTCTTATGTAAACTGTACCGTATTCTACATTTAGATTTGCTTCAAATTTCTTTTTTGATTTTATACCAAATAATAATAATATGTTGTTGCCGCCAACTTCATGGTGTGCTTGTTAGATATATAAGTTTTTTCTTGCGTTTTCTGCTTATTTTTTTTTTATTTTTTTTTTTTTTGGGTTTGTTTGGTTTTTTAGTCGTTTGCTCTCTTCTCTCAAAAAGCTCAACTTTTCCATAAGTTAACTTTGTGTGTGTGATAAAACTGAATTATCACAATAGGGCCATTTATGAGTTGATCTCACCAGCATATAATTTTCAGTTTCAATTGAAATCGCGCGCGCTTAGTCATAATTGTGGTGACTGTGTCGGTAATAGTGGACACTCTAAACTATAAAAATTTTTAAATGAAAACTTTTACAAAAGTGTTTAGTATAAATAAGAAATAAACAGAAACTCTTCTTTTATTTTCGATTAAAAAAAAAAAAAAAACCCAAAACAAGAAAAAAAAAATGTAAAACAAAAAAAGAGAGCAATCAAAGCCTGCAAGCAATAAAAGAAGTGATGAAAGTTCATAAAAATGCTGTAAAGAAAGTGATGATGTTTGAAATATTGTACGGAATGACAAATGCTTAAAATCTATTTAAAACTAACTCAAAATTTATTAGAACGGTTCATATATTTTATCGTCTTAAGGTAGTTAATAAATATAGAAAATCCGTAAATTCGTTGTAAATGCGAGTCGTTTAATAAGCCAGCAATTAAAACAACAATATTAATAAAGTAAGATAAAAGGAAAGACATAAATAAATATTTGTATTGATGTATATATTTATATACATATATACATGCTTACATGAATACCTATGAACATATATATATATATATACATTTATATATATATATATATATGTACATATGTATATATATATATATATGGTATCATATATAACTAGAATGCAGTCGAAACAATAAAGTGTGCGTATATATAAACATTAAAGCGTTCGGCGTTAACTATGAAGCCATATATTGCTACATTTTAAACTTGAAAAGAAAACTTAAAGGAATAAATATAAAAAACAAAAAATAAATAAAAACAAAAATCACAGAAATAATAAATAAATAACAAAACTTGCTTTCGGAAATGTCATTATATACAAAGTAAGTGAAGATATTTGCATAGTACTATAACTATGTGGATGTCTATGAATCCGCATGACACAGTAAATTGAATTTTTTGTTCTTTTTTTTTCATTTTATGTTGTTTATCGACTGTGAGCATTTCGTATATGCGAGAGGTTTACAAATATTTCCGGGCTGTATAGAAAGTGAGTGCGTGTGTATTGTGCCACGTTTTTTTTTTAACGGATTCGGTTTATATCCACTCTCCCGCCGTACACCTATATAGCAGCAGATACTAAAAGTATTCCTACTAAACTTTAAGATTCTTCTTCAGCCAGTTAACGTGCGAACAGATAGATAACATGGCTTAACAAAATGAAAGAAAAAATCATACAAACAAACCGTAAATGAGTCGAAAATTAAAGTAAGGAAGTAAGACAGTCAGCGAACATTAACGGGACTAAGTATGATGGTTTTCTTTTTTTTTTTTTTTTTTTTTTTGTTTTTTTTTTGCTTCGTAACTTCGGTCCTTAGCATTCGCAAGTATAAGTATACTGGACTACAGGTGATGATATCTGTTAATATGTTTGAAGAAACCGTTAAAATAAATAAATTAAATAAATCATATTGTTTGCGCTTAGTCGTCTTTTTTTTTTTTTTTTTTTTTTTTTTTTTTTTTTTTAGCTGCCGAATTTAGTTTTAATATGTCGTTAGGTCTTATTTATAGCAGATTTACTGGTGTTGCCAAGACAATATAACTGTCGAAATAACACTCGTATTATATATATTAATAAAATTTTAAGTTTTTATATAAAATGGTAATTTTTTATTTCACTTCATTTACTTTGTCCATTCAAATTTTCATTTGGTTCGGTCGATACGCAATCAAGCGGTTAATCTTTGGTGTCTTTTATTTCCCTAATTACCGTTAAGAATGTACAGACATAATTTTATTCGTAAAATGACAGCGATCGTAGCTTTGCATTATGTTCGATTATGGAATGGAGTTGCAAACGATTTCTTAAGAACATTGCTTTTATGTATTACTTTACCATTTGAAATATTTACTTAAGCGATCTTTTTCTTCTTTCGTTTCACTATTTAAGCAACGATAAGTGTGTGTAACAACATACCCGATTATAATAGTCACGAGACCTATGCTTTGGCATTCTTTAAATAATAACGAATTTTCCTTATTTTTATTTTTAATTTTTAATTTTTTTTTTTTTTTTATATAACCAACCACGCACGGGTGTCCCTTATACGGGTAAACACGGCAGTTAACAGAAAGGATTAGGGAAGATGAAACGAGAGGTCGATTAAGAAACTTGGACAAATGATGGGCAAATCATATTCATATCATAATTGCAAGCATTATTTGCACATCTGAAGTAAAAATAAATTTCTAAATGTGCGATTTTCTACATAATGCTAGATCAGTAGTTTGAGGGTTTCCACTATAACGGATTGATAGACAGATAGACAAGCAGGCGAACAATTAATTAGGTGGTCGGATAAATAAATAGGCTATTGGGCTAGTGAATCAACATGTAGATGTACAAAAAGATCAAAAAATAAATGCATAGATGATGCATAAAAGGACAGACAGATAGATAGATGAACAGATGAATGGAGAGATTCGAAGATAGATAGGCAGATAGGCAGACTGATGGGTATCAGTTGAATAAATTAGCAGACGTGTAGGCAGAAAGGTGAATAAACCGAGAAATGTTTGGGGAAATAAATGCATGCGCTGTTGACGCGTTGACGGTTAGATGCATCGCGCATTCAGATGCCTAAATAAGCAAGCCAATAGATAAATATAATTATATCGCTGACGAAATATAGCCTTAGTCAAATCCTCATACTGTCAAATATAAAATTCCAGGAATCGAATAAGTTTAGTGAACACTATTATGACCGTTATTTAAATCTTGTGTCAAATTTCAATGCTATAACTCAATATATTTAGAATTTTTCAAGTAATGGGCTCGTCTTTTTCAAGATTATTCGGAACATTTTAGAGTCTTCTAATTTGCTCTAAAAGTAGTTCACAAAACTGGAGCGAAAATGCTTAGTTCTGCAGGCGATAAAGTCATCGATAAAGTCCGGCGGTGATCAACACTATCGAATATCAAATCTCTTATGTTTCGATTTCAATGAAAGAAAATTGAAGCAATCGTTGTTCAAGCGCACGTTGCTTTATGATGAAATGGTTGAAATGACAAAACAAATGCCACGATTTAGTCGCAAAGCGGCAAAGCGTAAATGAGAAGCCTTTATAAAAATGAGATGCAGTAGTGTATACTTTGTAGTATTAAAAGAAAGAATGAAAGCAATTTTGAAAGGTTTCAGTTTGGAAACCATTTCATTACATGCAAGGTTGGAAAATATTATTTTCATGGATATGTTAATGAATGAATAGAATTTCGTCACAGCATAACGAAGATGCAGTAGCAAAAAGAAAGAGCCTTTAACAGCATTAAAGCTTGTGACGACAACTCTTGCGTCTTATAAAAAAAAAAAAGAAAAAAGAAAACCGTATTTGAAGTTTGAGCCGAGGGTATATAATCCAATATTCTCTGAGTTTGTGCCTTTCTCGCGAAATCAGCTTTGCCAGTAACTAAATAAAATCAGCTTGAATCGTTAAGCGAACATACATTTTACATCTCATGTAACATAATAAGACAAACGTACATAAGTATGAAATATTTCAAACGTGAAATTCATTATAGAATTCGCTAAATTAAAATGAAGCATATATATATATATATATATATATATATTTATATGCATATATATATGCATTAAGGAATTTCCATGTATGCCTATATATATATATATATATATATATATATATATATGTATGCATAAAATTGTATTTTCGAATGTTATTGTTATCAAGTGTGAAAGTATTTAATTATAAACATTAGGTGGCAGATCACATAAAAGGCGCGAAGACGAAAACTTATACAGCTTTAATTTGAGACTTGTCCAACGATTAACGAAACAAAATATTGCAAACGAGCATATATTAAAAGACTATTGCATGTTATATCGTTCGTTATATACCGTGGCACCAGCAGCAACTATCATCATCAATGTGGATACACAAAAATGATCTGTTTGTCTGCATCAATGTTTTTCTGTCTCTCCATAACTACTTTAGCTTTAATGCAACACGAACAAAGGGCTCAGCATGTGGCTAAGCCGATCATAATTCTTGTTTGTCAGTTCCAACCTGAGCTAGAAACCAGCAGCTTTTGTTTCTTTTGTATTCAGATTTTTTATTTTAACTGTACGCATTTATACAGAAAATATTTGTTCATGTGTCAAGTGGCTGCAGGCAATTTGCTCCTACTGTGGCTAAAATGCGCTTCTTGACTCATTGTCAGCCCTGTTTAAAAAGTTTGACTTTCCACTGCCATGTGTTGAACAACAATAATATTCCATTCCTATACCTCTAAAAACGTTATACAAACTATATATGTATATGTATGTATGTATGTATGTATGTATGTATTCGTATTTATTTATGAATATGTACATACACAAAACATATATATATATATATATATATATACATATAAATGCCTCTGTATATGGTGCACACGTCTGCTTGCTTATAAATAAATATTCTTACGTTCTTACGAATATTATTTGGGCGTGAAATTATAAATTTTCACGATGATATCTATTAAGGAACGATTTCGATTCAAATCAGAATGTGAATACCCGCAGATGATATACAAGCCAAACCAATCGAATATTACAGAATAGTGTCTTAATGAATGAAGACAATAAACTCTCGGTCCGATTATGTATATATCATATATGTGTATGACTGTCGTGTAGTGTGGCCTAAGTAACTCTCTTCAATCTTCAAAAATATTTATATATTCGCCTATTAAGCGAAACAAGGCGAAATGCTTTTTGAAATGTGCTATGAAGTGGCGAATTGCTCGAAGTACCGGACGCTATAAGTTGTACAACCGATTGTTTCGACATCTAAGATCGTGCTAGAAATCGCTTAATCGCGCAAAGTGCGATGTGGTTGCCTCATCACACGTTTTTAATTATTTTTATGCTTTTATTTTTGCTTTCTACGCTTGCGTTTCCCATCTGTTTCCTTGCAATTTATAGAGACTTAATATTAAGTACTTTGCAAGCATTTTCCCTTTTCCATTCGGGCTTGTTATAGTCGCACAAGATCGACCCTTAATTACTCTGCACAATTTCGCCCAATCTATCCGTATCACCAAAAACACTAAAATCTAAATTTTGTTGCTCTAGATAAACGATCGCTTTTTATGAGATCTCTTTGACGGAAGAAGTGTCAACACGTCTCACGAAATTTATGCATGAATGTGTATATGAATAATTACTCCTCTTGCCATATAAATGATTATTTTTTATGAATATATTTTTACGAGAGGACACATCAAATATAGCGCTACGTCGCCTAAATTCATCATCATATTCGTTTCGTACGATAAAACTGCAAAAATGCGAACATTTTTCGGAGACTGCAGGAGAGACTTTTGTACGGCTAATGATCGTACCAATGTTTTCATCCGATCGACTTTCCTTGATGTTCGTTTTTTGGGAGAAAGTAAGTAACTATATCTCAATAATGGCGTTATATGACGATTGGATTGATCATCAAAACATTCGAGCAGACGCAAGACAGACCAGCAGAATCACTTAAATCGATTCTAAATAGATTGCGATAATAAAAGTTGTCATCCTTAGGGATGTTAAGATAGCTTTACGAAACACGTGATGTAGGCTACGAAAAGTAGTTAACTGATTGCGGTAGAATTCTCTTTTCACATATTTTTTGTACAATTTTGATT